GCCAAAATCATGGGTCAGACACTTAACTGCTTAACTGACTGAGCCATCCGGGTGCCTTTGAGAATCTGTTTGTTTGTTTGTCTGTCTGTCTGTTTTGAGAGAGAGAATGTGAGCAGGGGAGGGGCAGAGAGATAGATGGAGCAAGAATCTCAAGCAGGCTCTATGCTGTCTGCACAGAGCCCATCATGGGGCTCAGTCCCACTACTGTTGAGATCATGACCTGAGCTGAAACCAATGGTCAGATGTTAATCAACTGAGCCATGCACCCAGGTGTCCCAGTCAATTTTGTTTTTATTTTTTTAATGTTTATTTTTTGAGGGGGTAGGAGGGGCAGAGATGGGGACAGAGGATCCAAAGTGGGTTCTCTGCTGTCAGGACAGCTTGAACTCATGAACCGTGAGACCATGACCTGAGCCAAAGTTGAACGTTTAAGTGACAGAGCCACCTAGATGCCCCCACCGCTGTCTGTCAATTTTAAATGTTAATCCTATGATCCATCATTTCTGTGACATAAAATCTTAGAAGTATTTGTACAGGGGCACAAGATTTATGTTAGAGATTTAATTACAGTATTATATAAATTAGTGGAAAAATGGGGAAACAAACTTTCTGCAGATCTTGAAAATAGCAACTTCAGCTACAACAAATAACAGATAAAAATGAAGGAATTTTGAATTTTTTTCGTGAGAACTTCTCAGAGATGTGGTTATTTTATTCTCACAGTGGAAACAAACATTGAAATTCTTAACTTATAAAGTATTTTAAGCAGGCATAAGATGGGCGTATGCAGTTGACAACAGACCTAATGCCTTTAGGTGTTTTGTTCTCTGGAAGCATCTTTTTTTTTTTTTGTGGGTGATTCAATTAAACTAATCATTAGAGTCTTTGAAAAAATTTTTACTTCAGTATAACTGACCTATAACTGGTTTCAGGGGCACAATGATTGCATATTTGTATATATTGCACAATGATCAACACAGTAACTCAGTACCCATTACCATAGTTCTTTTTTTCCCTGTGATGAGAACTTTAAGATCCTTTTATGCAGCTTTCAAATATGCAATAGAGTATTAACAATAGTCCTATCAAGCTATCAGTTACATTCTCATGGCCTATTTAATCCGTAACTGAAAGTTTGTACCTTTTGCCCCCTTTTACATCATTCTTAACCTTTACTTACGCCTTTTTTTCAAAATAAAGAATATTTTTTAATTGACTATCTCTGATGCCATTTTTTACACACTGATGATCACAGGTTTATGCTTTTGCCAGCAGAATACATTTCTTTTGACTCAGGAAATCATACCAAGGCAGTACCTCCTCAAATGAAAGTTCTGTTGGGCTGTCTGTTTTTCTAGGAGTCACTTAACAAAGCACATCCCATACCTGTTGAAAGCAGGATATGTCCTTCCATTTTTTTTTTTTTTTTTTTTTTTTTTTAAGAGAGCAAAAGTTGAGGAGAGGGGCAGAGGGAGAGAAAGAATCTCAAGCAGTCTCCATGCTCAGCGCAGATCCCAATGCAGGGTTTTATCCCATGACCATGAAGTTATGACTTGAGTCAAAATGGAGTCGGACTCTTAAATTGACTGAGCTATCCAGAATCCTACTCCCCCATTTAAAAGAAAAAAAAAAAAAAAGAAAAAAAGATGGCTCAAGAGCTAGAGAAGCCCAGGTTTGAATGCTGGCTACAGTACCAGTCAGTATACTACCATGTGCATCTCTCTGGCTCAGCTTTCTCATCTTTAAAATGCCAATGTTGGGGTGCCTAAGCGACTCAGTTAAGCATTCAACTTCGGCTCAAGTCATGATCTTGCAGTTCATGAGTTTGACCTCCGCCTGGGGCTTTGTGCTGATAGCTCAGAGCCTGGATCATGCTTCAGATTCTGTGTCTCCCTCTCTCTCTGCCCCTCCTCATTTACACTCAGTCTCTCTCTCTCTCAAAAATAAATGTTCAAAATTTTTTTTTAGGAATGGGAATGTTGTTAGTTTCTGTTAGTTGCATGGGTTGTGAGGTGTAGATGAGGTAATGTAGCTCACACAGAGGAAACGCACAAACTAGTACACTCCCTGATCATACCTTCTTAAACCTGAATTTTTGCATGCTTTCTACCCATCTTCCCATCTGTTAAACACAAAGGTTAGCACTCAGATGTTACATGAATGGTTTAACTGGAATTCCACCATTCTGTGTAGACTGGGAAACTTTTTGTATAACTTGATAATTACCCATTTTAAATGTTCAGATCTTTTGACTCCAGCTAAATTTTACTTCTAAGAGTTTATGTAACAGAGGTATACAAGGACACAATTTTTTGTACAAAGATTTGATTGCACTATCACATGAATCAGTTGAAAATTAAGTACACACACACACACACACACACACACACACGCTAAATCAGCAGAGTCTAGCTGAAGGAATGCCCTGTTAATGGGTGAGGGAGGGGCATATGACTGACATTTTCTGATTTAATGACATTATATCTTATTATCTTCCCTAATATTTCCCTTTTCTCATTTCAGTTTAACTGGTAAGTAGACAAAAGGTTTTCCTTTAAAGAACCAGCCCAGCTTTTTTGTTATTTCCAGATTGTTTTTGTTTACTTATTTTTTTAAACAGTTTTCTTTTTAAGTTTATTTTTAGAGAGAGGGAGCGTGTGTGTACATGTGTGCAAATAGGGGACAGGGAAGGGGCAGAGAGAGAGACAATGAATTCCAAGCAGGCTCTGGACTGTCAGCATAGAGCCTGACTCGGGGCTCAAACTCAGAAACCGTGAGATCATGACCTGAGCATAGACCCAGAGTTGGACGCTTAACTGCCTGAGCCACCAAGGCACCCTTACTAATTTAGTTTTTAAAAAATCTTCAGAGGAAGAAACTTTAAAGACTTAAAAAATTTCTACCAAACATTGAGTAAACTGTCATATGGAACAGCCTTCTGGTAAGTGCATATTGAGGGACAAATACAATGGCGGATTCATCTACATGTGAGTTTCTGTTGACCATTGTTATCTCCCCATAGACCCATGGTACTGAGTGCTCCATTCTCTCTGCCTGCACCCTGGCCTTCACAGGGAGAAGATGGAGCTTATAATGCTACTGGTAATGTTTGTGTTGTGAGAGTGGTGGTCATTTGGTGGACCAGCATTAAACAGCACAAAACTTGTATCTACATCCAGTAAAAACAAATGAGCCCAATGCTACTGTTTTCTTTGACAAAGATTTTCAGAAACTGAAAATTCTAAAGATTTTCCTAATTCCTAGGATGCTTGAAAGCAAAACTGTTGGCATGTTTGAGACTTTATACAAATCTGGGAAGAGTTTTGTAGATTAGAAATTAGAAAGATGTCTTATGGCTGTATGTGTACATATTACAGTGCTGAGGGACCACTGTGAGTACTTGGGAATGGAATTTACAGTATCCCACATGATAGGAATGTAAGATTTAAGACAATTTGGTGAAGTGTTTTTTACCAAGTGGTTAATGTGTACATTTCTTATTGCAATATATCTTCTAATACCTCTGTAAATCTTAGTTTAGGTGTACTTTTTTTTTTTTTTTAACACATTAAATTTTACTTGGTGTATTAAGTTGTGGCTCATCTTAAAATATTTGTTTGCATAGGGGCGTCTGGGTGGCTCTGTTAAATGTTGGACTCTTGATTTTGGCTCTTGGTTCATGAGATTGAGCCCCACATCAGGCTGTTATCCCTGCTAGGGATTCTCTGTCTCCCTCCCTCTCTGTCCCTCTCCCACTTGTGCTCTTGCTCACTTGCTCTCTCAATAAATAAAAAATATTTATTTTTTTTGAGATATGTGGGAAAACTATACCTGCCTATCAATTTTGCTGTAACATAAAATTGCTCTAGTCTTAGGAAATAAAAATATTTCTAAGAATATTTCTTGGAATGAATTTCTTAGAGTTCTCCTTGGAAGGATGTTTTTCTTAATGCTAGAAAGTATTAATATATCAAGATGTGCACTGCTTCTGCGTCTTACAACCTGTGGCTCACCATAACATCACAGAATTTTGGATTAGCCTGTTTTTTGGAATCCAGTCCACTGTGTCTCTCGAATGCGTCCTTTAGCCCTACAAGAATGACCATTTGAAGGGAGACAAACTCAGGAAGGACATTGTTTGCTTGAAGGGGGAAGCTGAGATACAAAGTACACAGATAAAATCCATTTTTGTATAATCTTTCAGGAGTTAGCCTTCAAAATGTTTTCTGGGGCGCCTGGTGGCTCATTCATTTGAGTGACTGACTCTTGGTTTCTGCTAAGGTAATGATCTCACAGTTCATGGGCTTGAGCCCCATGTCGGGTTCTGTGCCAGCAGTGCAGAGACTTGGGATTGTGTCTCCCTTCTCTCTTCTCAGCCCATCCTCTGCATATTCTCTCTCAAAACAAATAAACCTTAAAAAAAATAGTTTCCAGTCTGTCCAGGTGTAAATGGCAAAGGGAGGGCAGAAATGGAAGGAATCAAGGATTATATGGGAGAGAATCTTAGAGCATTTTACCACTCATGTGCTAAAGTTCTCTTCTAGTCCTGTCCTATGCTTGGGTGTGGTGCATACTGAATGGTAGTGGTAAGGTTTTACACTATTTAGTCCTATGTAATGAGACTCAGGGGTTCTTCCCTTTGAGAATAATTTGTCAGGTACGTGTTAGCCAAACTCCCATGGATAAGGTGTCGAGTGGCTTCGTTGGATACTGTGGTTTGTTGATGTGTAGCCCAGAATTTACTTGTCAAGAATCTAAACTTTACAACATTGACATATCTTGTAAATCTTTGCACCAGTGACATTCTAAAGTTTAATTGTGTACAGAAAAGTGACCTTTTAAAGTCAATGCTTTTGGGTTGACCAGGAGATCTTTTCAACATTAGGTAAACTCTTGTCAACTTCCTAATATTCCTATTGTTTGAGAACGCCCCATTCCTGTGCCAGTGATAAAAGCCTGATTTGTACCAAATTCGCATGTCTGTCCTGTCTTTCCAACAGCAATCAGAAACGGAGACTGTTCACCTGTTTATCCCAGCCCTCTCCGTCGGCGCCATTATCGGCAAGCAGGGACAGCACATCAAGCAGCTTTCTCGCTTTGCAGGAGCTTCTATTAAGGTACTCTTCTGCCAGCTGTGGCTCTGAGTGCTTTAAAGACAGTAAGTTACAGAAACACGGGTCGTCCTGCCACTTCATAATTGGAGTTGAATGTGGCAGTCTATACTGGGGTTACACATAGGGTGACAGAAAACCCCAAACGACAATAGCTTTAACAAAGTAAATTGAATTCTCTCTCCAGAAAATAGTCTGGAGGTGAGCAATCCAGCACCAATATGGTGGTCTTGCCCATATTGTCTAGCCCTCCACCTAGATTCCTTCCAGCAGATCATCCCTAGGCCGGGCCTTGGTCCCTCAAGGTCCCAAATGACACTATTCAATAGTGCTCTCCCCATCAAGTCTGTGGTCCAGCCAGTCGGAGAAGGCATTAAGACCCTTTCTCTTATGGAGGTTTCTTACTAGCTGCCACAGGAGATTTTAACCTCCATTTTGTTGCTCAGAAATGGCATCACAAAGCCAGACATAGCTGAAGGAACAAAGGAAAATATAGTCCATGTATGTTCGGCTAAATGTTTTATTATTATGGAAAGTGGGGTATCAAATATCAGGGGACAACTAATGGTATCCACCAAATAGATAATTGTGTGCTCCAAAGATTCTGTATTTTGGTATGTTGAGAAACAGCATAATATCAGATGTACAGGTCATTGTGTTTTAAAGAATGCACAAGTAGATAAATTTGATACAGTGACAGGTTTTTTTCAGGAAAACATCAGTCTATTGGGGTGTTTTTTGTTGTTACTGTTTCATAAAAACTTTATTTAAAAGAAGAGAGTACATGAAAAAGCAGCACTCAGATGTTAAGAGCGTGTTTAATTCCACCTGTCCCAAAATGGGAAGAAGCACATGTTCAGCAAGTGGATTAACTGTGGTCAATCTGTACAATAAATATTAAGAACAAACTATTAAAGAATAAGAACATGGTTGAAGCTCCTATTATATCCTAAGGGAAAGAATCAGACTCAAAAGGCCACATACTCTGATCCATGTGTGTGAAAATTCGGGAAATGGCAGAAGTACTGGGATAAAGAAAAAGTCAGTGGTTGCTAGAAATTAGGTGGAAGAGAGGCTTGAATACGAAGAGATAGCGGGAAGAATTATGGAGAATAACAGAACTGTTTATATTTTGATTGATGTGGTGATCTGCCTATGCACTTGTTAAAAAGAATTAATTTTACTGATGTAAGTTAAACAATTAAAATGCAAAACACAGAAATAGTCTTCATATGCTCTCCTGTAGCAAAAGATAACATACATGAACAAGAAATGCAGCCAAAATAAACAGGTAAAGGAAGAGATGGTAAAAGATCAAGTAGTGAACCAACTTTACTGTCCTGCTTAACTTCCTGATTAAAAAGAAATCTTTGACACCTGGAAAAAGAACCTAATAGACTGGCTTGGGGGAAAACCGGCAATGAACATTTCAGAACCAAGAATTGAGTATTTAGGTATTCACTTCTTTCTCTTTTGGGCTTTATGGAGGTTTTATAATGTCTGTTAAGTAATAGACATTTATTTGTTAATTAGAATTGTGTTCACTTATTGGACATTAGGAATGTTCCTAACTTATCCTGCACAGACAATGCAGTGATGGACAAAGTTCTTTTTGCCAAATTGTTATATATACAACCTTATTCTTTAAGGTTAGTCTGTAAAAATAGATCTGGTGAGTCAGAGGGCATGTGTTTTCAGGCTTCTCCGAGATTGTAGCAGTTTATACTCGTAATTCTGTGTATGAGTGCCCTTTACCCCAGGTCTCCATCACCAGTATTAACAAAAAAAAGTCTAGTTGGAAAGATAAAGAATGGTATCTTTTTTCCAGGGGTTTCTTGTGAATAATTCTAAGAGCTTAGACTAAAAGGAAGTAATTACTTGTTTGTTTTATAGACTCAAAATTAGGAAGTGCCCTTCATAAAGTAGGAATAACATTATTGTGGCTCTAGGTGACAGAGGGAGAAAGCACTGACTCCATTAAAAATAGAAACATTCTTGGGGCGCCTGGATGGCTCAGTTGATTAAGCACCCAACTCTAGATTTTGGCTCAGGTCATGACCTCACAGTTTGAGAGTTTGAGCCCGTATCAGGCTCTGCACTGACCGCCTGGAGCCTGCTTGGGATTCTCTCTCTCCTTCTCTTTCTGTCCCTTACCCGCTTGTGTGCACGCTCTCTCTCAAAATAAATTTTTAAAACTCCTTAAACATTATATTGATCATAAATATGTAGAAAAGTGTCTAGTAGCTTGTATAAGTAACTGAAAGTGATCATACTGAGTGGTAGAATTTGGGGTTTCTGTCAAATCTTTGGCTTCCTCTTCTTACATAGCAGCAATATATTTCGTAAATAAGAATTTACTTCTTGCACAGCATTATGTCTAGCGATTTTTTTTTTTTTTTTTTTAATTTGAGAGAGTGAGCAGGAGAGGGGAAGAGAGAGAATCTTAAGCAGGCTTCACATTCAGCACGGAGCCTAATGCGAAACTTGATCCCATGACGCTGAGATCATGACCTGAGCCAAAATCAATAGTCAGATGCTCCACTCACTGAGCCACCCAGGTGCCCCTAGCAAATTTTTTTTCTTTTAAAACAACTCCTACCAGCTGGGTCCCCAAATCCTAGGACTCTGGAAGAATACTGGTTTCCTCTCTCTCCAGCATTTCCCCCAGCTCAGGCTTTTTATGTGATTTCACATATTCTGCAAAAATAGGAAAGTCATTTACTTTGCTTCTGCCCAATTAATGTTAATTTCATGTTACTCTAATGAGCATATTCTACAGGGAGATTTACCAATTGTCTTAGATTTACAGTTTCTTGCACATATCCCACACCTGGAGGTTCTGTGGCATGTGCTCCACAGACCACATTTGGGGCACCACTGTTGTACAGGAACCGGGCCGTGGAGACAGATCCAGCTCTCTCCAGCTGTATGAGCTATGTGACTGTGGATGGGCCACATAACTGAACTTCTTCAGTCTTCAGTTTCCCCTCTGTAGAGGCAACAGCTCATTACTATCTAGTGAAGATTATCTGAGATTGGATGTGGATGTTTATATCAGGGCAAGGCACAGTGTTAAGTGCATGGTCTACCATAGGAACCATAACCAGTGAACCCACATTAATCACTGCCACTCTATAATTTTCTTCGAGAAGACTTTTCATTCTGCATTTCAAGAAGTCCTACACAAATGTCAGGCTGGTTTGTGTAATGTTACTATCAATGTCACCTGAAAGTGTCATTTCCCCTTGATGTGCCTGTTACAGATCGCTCCAGCTGAAGCACCAGATGCTAAAGTGAGGATGGTGATTATCACCGGGCCACCAGAGGCTCAGTTCAAGGTATGTGCTCTAGCATGCAGGGTAGAGGTAATGAATGAATAGATTTGAAGAGTGTTAATGCTTTGTTTTCAGGAACTCCATAACCTGGCTTCTCCCTTAAATATATCTAAAACTCAGTAGAAGGAATCTCCCAATGGAAATTTCTAAGACTAAGAACTCACACTTTATTTTCAAAAACCAACCAGACTGTTTTAATTTCGAGAGTTTTATAATGATTGCTGGGTTTACCTATCTCCCAAGAGAGAGTGTGCTCAGTGCCTTGTTACTATTATGAGGTGAGACTTTTAAGACTGAAATTCACAAACCTGTGTGGTTAATATGCCTCAGAAAACTTGTCCCAAAGTTTTTCCTCTTAAAATGTCCCCTTTTCCTCTTACCGTTGGGTTAACTCTGAGCCCTTGTTCATAGTCGAACCACAAATCACTCTGATCCTTCCAGTTTTAGAAGTAAAAATGGTAGGAACTCTTGTGGCATTTGTCCTGATGTGAACCATTACTCATATTTACCGGAGTTTGGGGCCTTTGCAGCTGGAATGCCCTTCACTGCATACTGAGAATTGATGAAGAACAGAGAGTGGCCAGCTGGGCTGCTGGTTCAAATCCCAGCTCTATCATTTACCTGCTGTGTGACCTTGGGCAAGTTACTTAACCTTTGTCTGGCTAGTTACTTAGCTATAAAATAGGGTTTAGAACACCCACATGGTTGAAACAGGGTTGTAAGGTATAAATCTATCCAGTGCTTAGAATATCATCTGCCATTATAGGAAATACAATATAAATACACTGGTGGTAATGTTTCAGCACTCAGGGTGAATCAGACTAAGACTCTGCCAGATTCTCAGATACATACTTTTGAGAACATGATTTCTCCCATAAAACTTAGCACAAGTGTTGTAAAAGTAACTACTGAATTAGAATGTAACTATTTTGTCTGAAACCCATGTCTTAGCACCTAGTAGCTGTGTAACAGGACAACTCTTCAACCTTAAGCCTTAGTTCCCTCAGTTCTAACATGTGGCTAGTAACGATACTTACTCCCTAACTCCCCACTTTTAAACTGTCACTTTCTTTGACCTTTCTCTTCTGTGGGACATTTTCCACTAAAAATCCAAAGCTTTTTTCACTTCGTTTACAGGAAGAACAGGAAACAAAAGGAGGTGCTTTGAGATGTGGGTGCAGTTGGCTAGGCTCAAACTCAGGTGAAGACATTTCCTCCCTCACACCAGCCTTCTGGTCCAGGCAGTTCAAGTCCTAACTCACAAATGTTGCAAACTGCTTCCTATCCTGAACCTACAGGGTCAGTCACTTTTAGTTGGAAATCTTAAAAGATAATGTAAACATCAGTTCTTGCATGTTTCTTCTTGGTGCTGAGCTGTTACTTCTTTATAAGTGGAACTACTATCTTGTTACTTATGTAATGCTTGTATGCTGGGAAATTCAGTTTATTTCCTTCTATCCTTCGTGACCATGTGGTATAATCATCTTAAATGGAGCATCTGAGAAAAGCTGTAATTCTTAATCAGTGATAACTACAAGTGAATTATTTTGGAGATCTAAGGAATGGTAAACCTCCTAACCTATATTTTTTTCCTACGAATTCAAGAGCTTTTGTTTTGAAAGAGGGATATATATATCCCTATGTCCTTTGACTGTGTTAATACCTATTGTCTGTGGCCTGAGACTTTTGAGAATGAATGGAATGTAGGGTACCAAGATGGATTTTGTTTTTTCTGTAATATCCTATAATGAGTTTATCATTTCTGCACCAATGAAAATGTTTTAGGCCCTTTGTTTTGATTTGCCCTGGTAGCCTATCCGGTTAAACCAACTCTGACTTCTTTAGATTTTGGTATATACTAGAGCAAATTAATAGTGATACATAATAGGAAAAAAAAATTTTTTTTTAATATTTATTGATGTTTTGAGAGAGAGCATTTTGTGCACAAGAAGGGGAGGGGCCAAGGGAGAGAATCCCAAGCAGTTTCACACTGCTGGCACAGTGCTCCGTGTGGGGCTTAATCTCGTGAACTGTGAGATCATGACCTGAAGCAAAATCAAGAATTGGATGCTCAACTGACTGAGCCACCCAGGCGCCCCTAGTCAGGATGACTATTCATTGCCTTTAACTCTTCTTGTTCAAAGAATAAACCATATTCTTAAGTCATTCATTCAGCTGCCACCTCTGTGTGTCTGGTTGTTACTGTGAACCTTCCTAAATTTGCCTCTTAGGCCATCTGCAGCAGTCTATTAAATGCAGATGTGTCCCTGCAAAGGGGGCTAGTCCAGTGGATATGAGCCGTCTGTAAAGTTAATGGACCTTTATTCCTACATGAATGACACTGATAGGATATGTTCTCATCTGTAGGCTCAGGGAAGAATTTATGGAAAGATTAAAGAAGAAAACTTTGTTAGTCCTAAAGAAGAGGTGAAACTTGAAGCTCATATCAGAGTGCCATCCTTTGCTGCTGGCAGAGTTATTGGAAAAGGAGGCAAAACGGCAAGTACTTCAGCAAAACCTGTGCAGTGGTATGAAAGGGAAAGCGTTGAAAGGTACTTAGGAGTTCCAAGTCCCTGAATTTTGGCTAATTTATAAAAACCAGGATCATCTGGGCCAAGGTTTGGAGAAGACTGCCTTTTGTCCTTCCTGAGTATTGGTGTCTGCTACTAGTGAAAGTAACGCCTCTTCAGAAGGCTCTGTGTCAGAGGGCTGTCTAACGGAGAAGGGGCAGTTGGCAGTTGTTGGCTGATGGAACTTCAGCTGTTTATTTTTGCACACTTGCTGAAAAGAAAAATTTTTAAAACATCATGTACCTTTACCTACTAAAAGCAAATGGTTTCCAGTTTCTCTTTAACACCTGTAACTTCTAAGTTGTTTTCAAAGCTGTTTACAATTTTAAAGTAATTGGGAGTATACACTTTGGATTCTGGTTCTGCTATTCACTTGTTGAACTGGTCAATTTCCTTGGCTAAGTCTTCGTTTAATCATCTTGAAGTGGGCAAAAAACTGATAACCTGATCGATTAGAAGACATTTGTAAAGCCACAGTTTAGTGTTTGGCACATAGTAAGTGCTCAGCAAATGGTTGGGTTTTTTTTTTTTTTTTTTTACAACCTTGATTTAATAAGATCTGTATTTATCTTTTCCAGGTGAATGAACTCCAGAATTTGTCAAGTGCAGAAGTAGTTGTCCCTCGTGACCAGACACCTGATGAGAATGACCAAGTGGTTGTCAAAATAACTGGTCACTTCTATGCTTGCCAGGCAAGTGGGCTCTCATGTGATAAGCAAGCTCTTCTGCTTCTTTCACAAATGGAAGTAGTTCTCCCCCAGATGTGCCCTCACCCCATAGAACTATTAAAGGTTGTTAGGTGCTTCACATGCTAATCCCTTTTTAGCAGGTGATTTCAGAGACTCTACTAGCAAATTAAACTAGTACGTATCTTTCATCTTTAAATCTGAAGTTGTTGAAATGGAAGAGTAAAAAATAAGTTGTAGTAACTTTTGATCAGGTAGAAATTTCAAAGCTCTCTCCTTTTGCAGGTTGCCCAGAGAAAAATTCAGGAAATTTTGACTCAGGTAAAGCAGCACCAACAGCAGAAAGCTCTGCAAAGTGGACCACCTCAGTCAAGACGGAAATAAAGGCTCAGGAAACAGCCCACCACAGAGGCAGATGCCAAACCAAAGACAGATTGCTTAACCAACAGACGGGCGCTGAACCCCTAATATCCAGAATTACATGCACAAGTTTTTACCTAGCCAGTTGTTTCTGAGGACCAGGCAACTTTTGAACTCCTGTCTCTGTGAGAATGTATACTTTATGCTCTCTGAAATGTACGACACCCAGCTTTAAAATAAGAAAATGAAAAAAAAAAAAAAGTAATGGGGGAGGGAGGGAAAGAGAGGAGCTCCTCTGCACTTCCCTTTTGTTGTATTCTCAGTGTAACAAATATTCTAATTTTTCTTAATATACCCCCCAGATGCCAGAAATTGGCTTAATAATGCATTCACTAAATTCATAAAATATAGATTGCTCCCAAATCCAGTTGTTAAAATTGGATCAGAATAGAATTACAGGAACTTAAGTGTTAAGCTATTAGCATAGAAAAGCCATTCTCAGCTGTACTTGTACCTAACACTAACACGAATAACCTAAGGGAAGTGCTGAATGGTGTTGGCAGGGGTATTAAATGTGCATTTTTACTCAACTACCTCAGGTATTCAGTAATGCAATGAAAGCAAAATTGTTTTTGTTTTTGGAGAATTTTATATACTTTATAAAGATAAAAGCCCAACAGTTTTTTAAAAAACTTAAAATTCAATTAGCTGACAGGAAAATAACTGAGAAAAATTTTACTTCTGACTGGTGACAGTAAAGCTGGAAAATTAATTTCAGGTTTTTTGAGGCTTTTGACACCATTAGTTGGAAAATCCAGTAAACGTTCAGTGATATGGAGCAGTGCCTATAGTTGGAGAGCAGCAATACAGTTTAAGTTTTCATTTATGGTAGGGAACGTTCTTGATGGTACTAACAGAGCAAAGTGGTTGCAGGAGGTTTTGGAACGGCTAGTTTAAAGGGCTTCAGAAGACTTCGGGTTTTTGTTTGGCTATGTGGCTAAAATGCTTTGTGCTTTAGACTATCACTGCCTAAAGGAAGCGTGTCAGTGAAGAGGTGCAGCCCGTGGACTGTGAACTGACTGGCAGAAAGCAAGCTTCAGCTGGTCTTCCGGGGTGCTTAGTTTGCCACCACACTTCAGACCAGTTGGTCTATGCTTGGAGCAGACCCCAAAAGAATTGCTTTGTGAAGACCAATGAATGGGGCATGCAGATGGTGTGACAGTGTTAAAAGACACTGTACGTGCTCCATCTCCGTGGGCTGGGCACTGTTAGGAGCCTCACTAAGCTACTTGGAAGATTTTTAAACAATGATAAATCAAGAAAAATGTAAGGCCACCTAAAATAGAACGTATCATACAGCAGGATCTCTGTGTTCTCTGCAACCAATTATTTGGAAATAAGTCAAAAAGTGGAGAATACTAGAAAAACAGTTTTTTGGAATATAATTTAAGTGACTGTGATAACACATTTGACCTTTGATGTTTGATACTAAACTCGCGTGCCCATTCCTTAGCTGGATGGCAAAGCCCGGTATGTACAGTTATGTGGGTGTGGGTGGTCTCCAAGGCCACGCTGCTCTCAGAATTGTGTTGCTTTTGTTCATAAAATGATCAGTCGTTACATTACACTGATCTGAAGAGCAGACATAATAACCCTTTAGAAAATATGGCCTCATTTCTATTTCAAGATGAATTTCTACAGACTAGGTAAGTTTTTCTGAAGGTCACTGTTAACAATTAGACATTTTGAAAATGACTTGAAATGTTTTCCTAAATGTTTCCAGAAAACCAGTTTATTTTGTAGTTTTAGCCAAAAAGTGCCCTTTGTCACACAATTCATCTAGCATTCATAATTTTTTCATATAATGAATTGCAAAAATAAAATCAGACTGGCTTTCTTTTCTCATGAGATGTGGTTAGGCCAGAGCTCTTCCTCAGTGTTTGATTTTTCCCATATTTGTTGTTGTTTTATATATATGTGTGTGTATATATATATATATACATACACACATATATATACACACACAGATAGGTGCTGCATTTATATCTGCTGGTTTAAAATTTTGTCATATTTCACTTCTAGCCTTTTAGTGTGGCAAATCATGTTTTACTTTTAATTAAGCAATGGTAATGGAGTATCTAATTCTGTAATTGAGTTTTGTACTCACCGCACATGGATCATTCCTCATCTGTAATGTGCCCCAAATGCAGCTTCATTTTCCAGATACCTTGATGCAGAATAAAGTTTTTCATTATTAGGTGCAGCTTGGTGTATGGCATCTTTTATTTCTGGGTTTTCAAATAAACACGAACGTTCAAATTTGATCAAACTGTAAACAGATTTTTAGTAATATTACATCAGTCTCAAGCAAGCACCAATATTATCAAGTGGTAAATTGTTTTCTCTATTCCATAGTACTTACGGTGGATCTTGGTAAAATTGGTACACATGAACTAAGAACTGTCGGTTTTAAGTAACAAAGCGAATAGGATGGTTATAGGTTTTCTGCTTTATTAAAACAAACCTGGCTATTCCATTCTATAGAACAAGATATACACTTAAGCAAACTTAAACTGTGAACAGAGAACACAGGGGCCAGTGTTAGCTCCCAGAAATCCTGCTGGGGTCTCAGGAATAAAAATAGATTAAAATTTTAATTTGAACATACGGATTCTTGGTGTGAGAATTAGCTCACTTACCTCTAATTTCCACATTCATTTAGCATGAGTGCCCATAGCTAAGACTTGTTTTGAAAACAACCTGAGCAAGGAGGTGGGGTTTCATTCAGAGTTACATTTTTAAGTGACTCAATCCAAATCTGGTAATGACTAAAGCAGTTCCTATCACTGTATTCTCATTTGAACTCCACTGGAGTCAGGGATGAAGTGTCCTCTTGTATTCCCAGAATGAAGTCTTCAGGTAATGGCTCAGGTGCTATCTGAGCTAACTGGTCATCGTAAGAACGTAGGGTCCATAGTTTCTCTAGTTCATAGGTCTCTCTGGTTTCTGGAAGCATCAAATGAATCACCATGCTGCCTATTAACCAAGGACAGATTAAGAGTTAAAATGAAGAAGGAGTTCATTTGCTCTTATTCTTGTGCTCTCACCCACCTCTGTGATAGGACAGTGGTTGTCAAAATATGGGCCCCACATTAACATTACCTGAGAACTTGCTAGAAATGCAAATTCTGGATGCCAGCTCAATAAAAATACCATAGAAATGATGCTGTGCTTTTCTCTGCATCATACAAGAGGTACATGATAGCAACATGTAACATCACTGGTGATGTTAACTTCACCCTAGTGACTAAAGGTGGGCTAGTGGAGGACAATTCGCCATGGGTATCACATTTCTGCACATCCTGTGAGCTATACATTGACTGTCTTTTGTTCTAGACTATCTTTTCAAGGATGACTGTGTAGTGAATAGTGTCAGAGATTACCATCTCCCTCTAGAACAGAGAACAGGCTTACTTACAGCAGTGGATCTCAAAGACCTTTCTGATTTTCACAGTTGGGGTCGGAGAGAAGGGAGACTGATAAACATCCTACGATGCACAGGATAGATCTCCCTACTCCCACCTGGAATTAGCTGTTCCAAAATGTTAAGAAGGACAAAGCTGAGAAACCTGGCTTAATGGCCTTGGCAGAAAAAGTGCCTTCTACCACCGCAAATGCGGGTCTGCCTCCTGCCCATCATAGAAGATGTAGCTACCCTAATCTCAGGGTTCCTCTCTTAGAACTTTGTTCACAGATGTCATGGGGCCCTATGCTGCTCTCTCTAGAAACAGGCTCAGGGAACCGGGCACACACGAAAAAATGCTGCTGCTGACTGTTACTGTGATGAGTAATAAAATCATCCATCCTTCATCTCTAATCCAAGAATAGCCTGGAGTTTCATGACCCATGAAACTGGGCCACTAACTTGTTAAGAATAAGATAGAATCTCAAGACCCTTCACTATTCTTGACTGTTTTTCCCTTTGTAACTAAGTATCTTAGGAGGAAATACTTTGAAACTATATATATGTTAATACCCAGATTTGTTAGATCTTTTTTTTTTTAATTTTTATTTTTTTTTTATTTCTAGGAGAGAGAGAGAGACAGCGTGAGCAGGGGAGGGTCAGAGAGAGAGGGAGTCACAGACTGAAACAGGCTCCAGGCTCTGAGCTGGCAGTCAGCACACAGCCCGACGCGGGGCTCGAACCCACGAACCGCGAGATCATGACCCAAGCGAAAGTCGGATGCTTAACCGACTAAGCCACCCGGGCACCCCTTGTTAGATCTTTTCAAAGTTCCAGTCCTCTGGGGGCACCTGGGTGGCTTAGTCGGTTAAGCATCCGACTTTCGCTTGGGTCATGATCTCGCGGTTCGTGGGTTCGAGCCCCGCGTCGGGCTGTGTGCTGACTGCCAGCTCAGAGCCTGGAGCCTGTTTCAGTCTGTGACTCCCTCTCTCTCTGACCCTCCCCTGCTCACGCTGTCTCTCTCTCTCTCTCTCTCTCTCTCCTACAAATAAAGAAAACATTAAAAAAAAAATCTTTAAAAAAAAAAAAAAAGTTCCAGTCCTCTGTTCCTGGAATGCCCTTTAACTTCACCTCATCGGAGTCCTAGGCCAAGATACGTACCCCCCAAGCCTTCTACCACCACTAAGCCATTTCTTCCCTTTCTACCGTGTTACCTACTCTGTTCACCATCTTTCTGACCTGCATGACTAGTTATATGCAATCACACTACGTGAGAATTTCACATGTGAATAAGACCACCTGGCTTATAATTAAAGTTTACTAAAAACAAATTTCAAAATTTTCACATGAAAAAAGCACTTTGATATCTTTTTGCCAAGTGAAAAGAGTTCCAGATTAGGACAAAACCAAATATTTATCTACAGAATATGTCAAAATAACTTACCAAAGTCCACACACAGCCAGTCATCAGCATTCTTCCCTTCAATCTTAACGTGAGGCTCGCTCTTACATTTCAGGTATTTGTACTGGGGAAAAAAAAAAAAAAAGACAGGTTATATATTAAAGAGGGAGGATGGAGCAAGTCTTGGTTCTCACTGTTCTCACGGAAGATGGTCTATTGGCATAATTTTCTTGAATTTGAGAACTAACTCATTCCTCTTAAGTGTACCCCATAAGAAATAACTTGGGGAAACTTTCTCCCCTTAAATCCTACCTACCTCTTATACCTCTGAATCCTCCTGCCCAAACCCTTCTGAAAGGGCCATCAGATTCATCCAAGGTGATGCCTCATCTCTGAGGCAGAGAGGCCCAAGCTCACTCAACATCTGGTCCTCACCTGTATCAACCACCTTCATGACCATGTTAATTGGGTTTTACCATCCCGTGTCTCTCTTCCAACTAGGTCTTATGACTGGTCTAAAACAACAGAATACTAATATCACATAAAATATACTTAAGTCAAAAAATATTACGAGACAAGGATAGTATATGATGATAAAGGGTGAAATAACCCAGAAAATGTAACAATTACAAACATACACCAAAAATCAGAAGTCCTGGGGCGCCTGGGTGGCTCAGTTGGTTAAGTGTCCAACTTCAGCTCAGGTCACGATCTCATGGTTCGTGGGCTCGAGCCCCTCGTCAGGCTCTGTGCTGACAGCTAGCTCAGAGCCTGGAGCCGGTCTTTGGATTCTGTGTCTCCCTCTCTCTCTGGCCCTCCCCTGCTCTCTCTCTCTCTCTCTCAGAAATAAAACATTAAAAAAAAATCAGAATTCCTAAACAGCAAACAAACATGGAAAAAACTGAAGGGAGAAACAGATGACAACACAATAATACAGACGTAATACTCCATTTTCAACAGTATATTAAAAGAACAGAAAAGATCATTAAAGAAATAGATGACTTAACACTAGAAACTATTTGGACCTAACATTAAACACCATTCCATCCAACAGCAGAATACACATTTTTCTAAAGTGCACGTGTAATGTAACATTCTCCAGGTCAGATCTTGTGTCAGGCCGCCAAACAAGTCTCGATAAATTAAGGAGACTGAAATCACAAAGTATATTTTCTGATCACAATGAAATGAAACTAGAGATCAACAGAAGGAAAACTAGAAAAGCCACAAAAAAAAAAAGAAAGAAAGAAATCACAAGGGAAATCAGAAAAGCTCTTGAGACAAATGAGATTGAAAACACATCAAAACTGGGGCACTTGGGTGGCTCAGTCAGTTAAGCATTCAACTTTGGCTTAGGTCATGATCTCACAGTTTGTGGGTTTGAGCCCCACATCAGGCTCTGTGATGACAGCTCAGAGCCTGGAGCCTGTTTCAGATTCTGTATCTCCCTCTCTCTCTTACCCTCCCCTGCTCACTCTGTCTCTCTCTCTCAGAAATAAATAAAAAACATTAAAAATTTTAAATTTTCTTAAAAAAAAAATAATAAAAACACATCAAAACTTAATGGGATGTGGTGAACGCAGTGTTAAGAGGGAAATTTATAGCTAAATCCTTTCATGAAAAAAAAAGTTCCCAAATCCCAAACCTAAATTTACACCTTAAAGAACTAGGAAATGAAGAACAAATTAAACTTGAAGCTAGCAGACAGAAGGAAACAATGGTAAGAGAAAACTAAAATTGACAAAACTTCATGAAACCAACATTTGGGCCTTAAAAAAGACAAAATTAACAAATCTTTAGCTAGACAAAGAACAGAAGACCCAAATAACTAAAATCAGAAACAAGCAAGGGGACATTCCTAAGAAGTAAAAGGGATTTTGAGTACTATGAACAAGTATATACTAGCAAATTAGATAATCTAGACAAAATGGAAAAATTCTTAAAAACACAGAACTAAGACTGACTGAGATTGAATCAGTAAGTGAAAACCTCCAAACATATCTCAATTTTTTTAAAAAGGGGAGGTGGGGGGAACAAAGAGGGAAAAAAATCTCCCAACAAAGAAAAGCCCTGGACCAGACTGTTTCACTGGTGAATTCTACCAAATATGTAAACAAAAGCTAATACACATTCTTCTCAAACTCTTCCAAAATACTGAAGTGGGAATACTTCTTAACTACCATTACCTTGAAACCAAGGCTAAAGACACTACAAACTATGAGACCATTATCCTTGATGAATACTGATGCAAAAATCCTCAATGAAATATTAGCAAGTCAAATTTCAACAGCATATTGAAGAATTATACACCATGACTGAGTGAGCCTTATTCCTGGAATGTAAGGATGGTTCCACATGAAAATCAATCAATATAATAGACTACATTAACAAAATGAAAAAAGACACAGGATCATCTCAAAATTATGCAGAAAAGCATTTGACAAAATTCAACACCAAAACAAAGAAACTACCTCAAGATAATAAGGGCCATGTATGAAAAGCTCAAGCTATTATCCTACTCAATGGTGAAAGACTGAAAGTTTGTCCCCTAAGATGCGGAATGTGCTAAGAATGCCCACTTTGGCCACTTCTATTCAAGGCAGTTCTGGCCAGATAAATTGGATCAAGGAAGGTGGGGGTGGGGAGGTACCAAATTGGAAAGGAAATAATAAAACTGTCACAGGGTACGGACAACATGACTTAAATGTATAAAACCCAATGGTTCCACACACACAAAAAAAAACACCCTGTTAGAATAAATGAATTCAGCAAAGTTGTAGTATACAAAACTAACATGTCAAAATCAGCTGTGTTTCTATACACTAATGAACAACGTGAAAAGGAAATTAAAAAAACAATTCCATTTACAATAAAATCAAAAAGAATACAATACTTAGAAATGAACTTAACCATGGAGACAGAAGACTTATACCCTGAAAAATACAAGATACTGCTGAAGAAATTAAAGACACCAACAAATAGACTGGTGTCTGTATTCATGGACTGGAAAATTTAAATATCGTTAAGATATCAGTACTACCCAAATCTATCTACAGATTCGATGCAATCCCTATCAAAATCCCAATGACTTTTTTTTTGAGGGGGGAGGGTGGGAGAAGTAGAAAATTCCATCCTAAAATTTATATGTAATCTAAAAGGACCCCAAAGAGCAAAAAACAATCTTGAAAAGGAAGAACACAGTTGGAGCGCTCAACGTACTGATTTCAAAACTAACTACAAAGCTACCGTAATCAAAACAGTGAGCAAGACAGACTTATGGAATGAAAGAAAGAGCCCATACAGTCAAATGATTTTCAACAAGGGTGCCAAGTCCATTCAATGTGAAAAGAGCAGTCTTTTCAACAAATGGTGCTGGGAAAACTAGATATCTATATGCAAGAGAACAAAGTTGGACCCTTATTTTACACCATCTACAAAAACTAACTCAAAATGGATCTAAGATTTAAATATATGACCTATATTTAACGCTTAAATATAGGAAAGACTTCATAAACAGTGGAAAGGCTTCATGACATATGACACTGAGTGTGGTAATTATTTCTTGGATAGGACACCAAAGGCACAGGCACAAAAACAGATTAACTGCATCTTATCAAAATTAAAAACTTGTGTGCATCAAAGGACACTATCGACAGTAACAAGACAACCTACAGAATGAGAGAAAATATTTGCACATATTTATTTGGAGATTAATATACAGAATATATATAGAACTACAACTCACAACAAAAACAACAAAAACCTAACCTGATTAAAACAAAGGCAAAAGACTTGATTAGGCATTTTCCCAAAAATATACAGATGGCCCATAACATATGAGAGGATCTCAACATCACTAACTGTTGAGGAAGGGCACAGCAAAATCACAGTGAGCTGCCACTTCTCACCCATTACTTTTACTACGATCAACAACCCAGAAAATAAGAAGTATTGGCAAAGATATGGAGAAAATGGAACCCTTATGCACTGTTGGTGGGAGTGTAAAGTGGTGCGGCCACGACGGAAAAGATCACGGTGGTTCCTCAAAAAATTAAAAGCAGAATAACCATGATCCAGTTATTCTACTTCTGATATTAAAAGCAGAGACATGAACAGACATTTCTATACTCCTGTTTATAGTAGCATTATTCAGTCTCCAAAAGGTGGAAGCAACCCAAATGAAACTCGATGGATGAATAGATAAAATGTGATATACACACGATAAGATAAAAAGCCTTAAATAGAAGAAATTCTGAGACATGTCACAAGATGAACCCTGAAAACATGCTAAGTGAAATAAGCCAGTCCTAAAAGGACAAATAGGGTATGATTCCACTCACGTGAGGGACTTAGAGTAGCTGACTTCATGGAGACAGAAAGCAGAATGGTGGCTGCCAGGGTAGGGAGAGAGTGGGAAATCACGGTTTCATGAGTACAAAACTTCCGTTCTGCCAGATGAAAAACATTCTGGAGATGGATGGTGGTAATACACAATGAGGTGAATGTAACTAATGCCACTTCATACTTAAAAGATGGTTAAAACGTAAAACCTCTCATTCTTTTTTTTTTTTTTAATTTTTTTTAATGTTTTATTTATTTCTGAGAAAGAGACAAGCAGCATGAGCAGGGGAGGGTCAGAGAGAGAGACACAGAATCAGAAGCAAGCTCCAGGCTCTGAGCTAGCTGTCAGCACAGAGCCCGACGCAGGGCTTGAACCCACGAACCGTGAGATCATGACCTGAGCCGAAGTCGGACACTTAACCGACTGAGCCACCCAGGCGCCCCAAACCTCTCATTCTTCTTATATTTCTATGTCCAGTGGTCACTTCTACGTCTTCATCTTACTCGGTCCCACTATTACATGTGACAGAGACCCTGGGACTGTCTTATAACTCTTCTCCATGCCATCTTGGTTCTCTTTCCATCTCTCCAACTACTCCTCCACTGGAATCTTCCTCTGCTTTGCCATAGTGCACCAGGGTTCGGTTTCCAGTCCCCCGTCTTGTCCCCCGTCTCTAGACCATCCTAGCTATTGTTCTGGTCTTAACTGTCTTTTCTATGACTGATTGCCAACAAGGTCAGAGAGGTTATGTTCTCCTTGTAGAGAGTTATCAGAACTGGCTAAAGGCCTCCAAGTATATTTTCTTCCGCATTTCTGATTCCTATTCAGTCCAGTTAGAAAATGAACTGCCTGGGGCACCTGGGTGATTCAGTCAGTTAAGCATCCAACTCTTGATTTTGGCTCAGGTCATGATCTCACGGTTTTGTGAGTTCGGGCCCTGTGTCGGGCTCTGCACACTGGTTGCGCAGAGCCTGCTTGGGATACTCTCTCTCTCTGTCTCTCTGCCCCTCCCCTACTGTGCTCTCTCTGAATCAATCAATAATAAGTGCATTCCCCTTCCTCAACTAGGCCTGTGAGTTTGTTGGGTAAAGACTAGATCTTTTTATCTTCCCAGTACCCAGCACAATACTTGCAAACGCTGGACACATTCAAACATTTGCATTAAACTATAGGCCGGCATGGTCCAACAGAGCTTTTCTACAGTTACCGAAACATTTTATAGTTGTGCTGTACGATGTGGTAGCCATTAGGCACAAGTGGCCACTGCACACCTGATATATGGCTAATACAACTGATGAACTGAATTTTTAATTGTAAATTCTAATTAGCCACACGTGGCTTGTGGCTAGCACAATGGACAGTGCTGCTCTAGAAATCCCCCTTGGGTTATACTGTCTTCTAGCCTGCCTCAAAGTATTTATTTTTATTTCCATTTTTATGTACTTCTTTATATTTTTTTATTCATTCATCATTTATTTATGACGAGACGAGAATTAGAAATATCCTGACCCATCTGTCCCCATTAACGTTCACTATCAACAAACATAAAACGCACACGGACATTCTGAGAATTGGGGCTTCTTACATAAACCTCACACAGCTTTACTTTTTAAAGTGTTGCTCCTCAACATAATGCACTCTTCCGCGAAGTTAATGATTCCAAAGAGGAAAGAAAGCATCCTACCATTTTCACAATGTAGTAGGCCATGGCATGTAAGTGTCGGGTGGAAGTTCCACTACCAATCACAAAGTAATCCGTGTATTTCAGTTCTGGAGGAACCTTGATGACGCAAATGTCTCTTGCATTTTCTTGCCTCAGAAGTGAAACCAGCATATCGATGTCAAACTTGGGACCAGTGTGATCTGAAATGCACAAAGATTAGCTCGTGTCAGGTGGCCAAGGAGAAGACACCGTATGCACAGAGATGCAGCCGCTAACAATGAAACCGCTCCTCCATGGGGGTGTTTAGATCTAAAGTGTTTTGAATAACAGCAGGCCCAGACCCCCTGGAAATTAAACCTGTTGTTTCACAAAGCACTGCTCAACTTCACGGGAAGAGTCCTCAGGTGACACAGGGCCATCATACATCCTTTGCCGTTGCCATTTGCAATAAAACCATACATCTGCAACAAATGATTTTCTGTTCACTAATACTTGAGGAAATGAGCAGTACACCTCAAACACACACAGAGCTACAATTGTAGCTCTTAGGTAGTACCCGGACCACAACCTTCACTTGAGAGATGAAGAAAATTAGCCCTCATAGAATTAATGCACCAGCCCCAAGCCAACCAATGAGAGCTAAAACTTTAACGGTGATTTTCATTTTGAATCCTCAAGTTCTTCTTATAAGGACATTTGGGTTATGTAGCAACTGTTATCTGTGCAGACTTAACTTTTTTTCTGTAGAGATGTGCATATTCTGTTCTTTACCTCGGAGTATTAGAACTTGTAAATTTATAGCTTTCTCTTACATTCTAAAACTGATTCCCAGGAATCCAGTGTCTAAGTCCACTAAGACCTCTCCCTCTCACACCCTAACTTTTCACAGATGTGCTCGACTTACAACCACTCAAATCCCTAAAATCTTGCAATAGAGGGCTTCAATTGGCCGCGTCTCCTATTAGCGATTCTTAGGCACCTCTTAGACCCAGTCCCTAGCTCTTCCTCAAAATCCTCACGCCCTAACATTTTCGCCAAATCCAATTCTCGGGAACCCTAGGAAGACTGTGAAGGGAGCTGAGGACGGTGAGGTTGTGATGCCACGGGTACAGTGCGGCCATTCTGACGCCTGGGGTTTCGGAGACGTCAGTTCGTCTCCCGGCGTGTTAAACACAAAGTTGGCGCCAACATCTGTGAAATCCCTTCCAGCTCTAGAGCTGTAGGAGTTTTGTGACTCCAAGAGAAATGCATAAACGGAGGAACCCAAAGCCTCCTCGCTGGGACCCGGCTCCCGGCTGCCCGGAGGGGCAGCCGCCGCCCTCCTCCAAGCCCGTACCTGCTGTGCCTGACTCCGGGTGCCCCTCACCGGCTGCCCCCTGAGCCCGCTCCTCCAGGCCGGGTCGGCCGTGCAGGCCGCGAGCGTGGTCGGGAGAGAGACAGGCCCGGCCAAGCGCCGGTCCCGCCTTAAGCCACCCCGCGGCCAGCAGCCCAAGCGGGGGCCCCGCGCCCTCCGGGGGCCCAGCTCCTTGGGAAAGGGCCCTGCACCGTAGCAGCGACCCGAGTCGCCGCGCCACACGACTGCCAGGGCCCATGGCTGTCCCCGAACGGCGATTCACGGGGCGGGTCTTAATGGAGCCCGAGCAGGTTCTTCGGCTTTGGATTGGCCAGGCCAATGCGCCAAGGCCTGGAAAATTGACGTAAGGAGAGTGGGCGGGGCCAGGACCCAAAGGCGGGGTCCGTGGGCGGAGTCTGGATCCCAATTGGGACGCGTGTGACCCGGAAGGATTTGTTTGGAATGAGGGGTTGTAGGAATCTAAGGACTAGTACTTGACTGCCCACTCCTGCCTTGCCCTGAGACATAGTGCGTTGTACTACGTTGTCCTCTGCTTTTTTTTTTTTAATCTATCTTCCTTCACTGCAATGTAAACAGCATGAAGGTAGAAAGTTTTATTTTGTTTTGTTTTGTTTTGTTTTGAACTCTTGTCTCCACAAAACCTAGAATAGCTGGTACTGAATGTTCAGAAGTAACCACTGTTGATTATGATGAAGGACAGAAGCAGAAAAATGTTTACATTTAGCCCAAAAGACTGACTATAGCCTGTATAGTTGTGATAAGAGTGAAATGTATACTGGTTGCTACATTCTGGTTGCTACACCCTACATAAACGGTCTCATGACTGCCTGTACCTCTCATCCATGGTTAACCTGGCTGACTAATAGGAGCAGAGAAATCTTAATGAAAGTAGTTCTATGAGTAGAAGTTCAAAGAAGACATTTATGATGTACTACTCCCTGTACATCCCCTTCTCCACCTCCAGTACTAAGCATATAACCATCAGCTTCATACAGCAAAAGTGAAGCTCTTTCTGCCCAAATCCTGCCCTCATGCTTCTAAATAGAGTTAGTAAGTTGCACTGTAAAACGGTTCAAGGATCCTTTCTTGATCATCGTGCTAATGATGCTGCAAAAATTATGCTGGAATTAGGACATAAATACCTATTACCAAGAAAAGTATCAAGATTCCCTAGCAAATTTGAAATCCCATGAGGAAAATCTGTTATTCTGGGCTCAGGTGGGATGGGAAGCAGAGATGTAAAGGACCGTTTGGAAAACGTTCTTAGCAGTTCAGCCCTTCCTCTACACTCCCTGTATGGTGTTGTTTAGGCCAACGGCCTGCATCGTGGTGCCCACCTCTGTGAGAACAAGGAATGCAGTATTAAAAGAACAGTGTTAAACCATAGGGTTTAAGAGCTGAAAGAGACCCAGGGAGGAAAAACCATTTACCCCTGGCCAACCTGAAGCTAGAAGCCATTTCTGAAATCCAGCCCTGGTAATTTTTGAAAGCAAAAGACCAGTAGAAACAGGCAAATATCCCAAATGCCTGGAAGAGTGCCAAGCATACAGTAGGTACTTCAAATTCTTGACACGTTATTTAATTTCTTTTACAGACAACAAAACAAAGCAGAACTCCAAGCACTAATTTTGGAGAAATTATAAATTACAAAAACTAATATAAGTACCTGTGTGCACCATCCCAGATATTTACAATTGCTTCAATTTACTTTTGAAAATAGGAAGAATGAAGTATTACAGATAAAAGCTAAAAGTCTCATCCTCTTCACTTCCATTTCTCCATAGGCTTGGGTTTGGTGTTTCTCCTAGCTTTTTCCATCAATTCCATGTTACTACCCTTTTCTCTGAACAACCCTGATTTACTATCTGTATTTGCCATCTCATTTAATGGATCATCATCTCCTCAAAAATATCCTAAACTCTGGGTTGCATTCACTCCATGATCTCCTTGCAATAACTAATACATTGTCAAATACTGCTTATGCTACCTCCGAAGGTTTTTTCTTTCTTTATTATTGTTAAAAAAAAATTTTAATGTTTATTTTTGAGAGAGAGAGCAAGCAGAGAGGGGCAGAGAGAGAGGGAGACACAGAATCTGAAGCAGGCTCCAGGTTCTGAACTGTCAGCACAAAGCCCAACACAGGGCTCAAACCCATGAACTGAGAGATCACGACCTGAGCCGAAGTCAGATGGTTAACTGACTGAGCCACCCAGACGCCCCACTGTTATTTATTTTTGAGAGGGAGTGGGAGGGAGAGAGGGAGAGAGAATCCCAAGCATGCTCCATGTTCTCAGTGCAGAGCCTGAAGTGGGGCCCAAACCCATGAATCATGAGACCAGGACCTGAGGCAAAACCAAGGTCAGACTCTTAATTGGCTGAGCCACCCAGGCACCACTCAAAGGTGTTTTTTTTTTTTTTTTTGCTTTGTTTTTTAAATTCAACTTCTGGTCTTTATTCTCACTCCCTCAGTCTGAGCCGCCATTCACTCTTACCTATTTACCAAGACAGACTCCTTCCTGGCTCTCCCGTCACCAATCCATCTCTACTTTTTCCATCCTTCGTGCTGCCATGCTGTCTACTAGAATTATTTTAGCCTCATCTGCTTCTTGCTGTTTTCCAAACACACCTTCAGTGCTGAGCTTTGCACATGCTATTCCATTGTTTAGCGTGCCCTTCTTCCACCTTTTCACGTGATGAACTCTGACTCACTCTGCCAGACATACTTCAGATATGAAGGTATCTCCCCACTCTCTCAGATGGTCCATCGTGTGAGAAGACACCGACAGTGCTCTGGGATGCCCTGAAACCACAGGGTCAGTGCTCCATCTTATTGCAGGCCTCAAAGCCCCCTTTAGGCTGGATTCCCTGTCCTTACAGCATGAAGAGCATGCCAGACAAACCAACACAAAACATCTGAGAAAGCATGCAACACACACCTGTGCTCCAATGGGAGCTTGGGGGAAAGGAAGGTAGTGCCTTACCCCTACCTCTGCAAAAGACTGAGTCCTTAGTGCTCCTCTTCTCTTTAAAAGAATTTGCTCCCCCTTCCGATTAGGAGGTTTACAAACAGGAGGACAAAACAATTTTTATTTTTTATTTTTTTAATGTTTTATTTATTTCTGAGAGAGAGAGAGAGAGTGTGTGTGTGAGCAGGGGAGGGGCAGAGAGAGAAGGAGACACAGTTCCGAAGCAGGCTCCAGGCTCTGAGCTAGCTGTCAGCACAGAGCCCAACGGGGGGCTCGAACCCATGAACTGTGAGATCACGACCTGAGCCAAAGTTGGACGCTTAACCGACTGAGCCACCCAGGTGCCCCCAAACGATTTTTAAATAGAAATACATAAACGTAGAGTAACTATAACTAATGGGATTTGTAAGAGAGAGAACTTTAATCCTAGCCCTTCTCTCTGCATGGTCACCTGAGGGCAGAATTAGTACAAAGAGAGTGGGAATCTGGGGGAAAGGATGAAACTTAAATGAGGCAGGAATATTCACCCACAACTGTTCAGTGATGGAATAAACTGCCCTATGAAGTCAGGAAGGACAGCTGAGTCTGGAAAGTAGTGGTCTCAACTTTTTAAATTTTAATAAGCTTTTGTTTTAAAATTTGTGGCTCTTTGAACATATGCATGACAAAAAGCTGCTATGAGCTAAGCAACACTTTTAATTAAAATTATATTGAATTGCAATTAGCATCTACATCCATTTGCTGTGGAAAACATGTTTATTTTGTCCAAAGACAATGTTTGATCCATATATGGATTTGAGGATCCTTTGCAACCAACAGGAGGCTCATGGTTTACACATATATAAGAAATTAATGCACAGAATCAGCCAAGGTTGGACCTGATAAACTTCTCAGTCTCCAAACTATATGAATTCAATCAATACCTTTTTTGTTTTCCCGAGTATTCTTCACACCCAATGTGGAGCCCGATGCGGGGGCTTGAGCTCACAACCCTGAGATCAAGACCTGAGCTGAGATCAAGAGTCGGTTATTTAGCCAACTGAGCCACCCAGATGCCCCTCAGTCATCTGAGTGACTGAATCTCTGTGACTGCAGCTTCCCACTGTCCTAACTTCCCGTGAAGCCTCAGGAAACAAGTTTGGGAGCCTTTTGACTGAGGCCAACAGGAGGCTCCTAAATTAACACCCCAAGGATGTTATTAGGGCCTATAATCTTAGGAAGTCCTTTTAGTCATGGACCCTGGTTAATTTATAATTCCCAGATCCCTCAGTAAGCTGCTTTAACCCTCCGTTCTCAGCACCTCAAAGGTAGAGATTATCAAGCCGTCATTCCCCCTCTGATTCTGCCTTTTAGAAGCAAGCACAGAATGAAAACAAAATCAAAGCCTAACAGCAGATGGCCCTGTTCTCAAGCAGGGGCATTTTGTATTCCTGTGGACCCCACTAATGGGTAACATTCCCCCACCCCCAAGTCTACCTCAGGTAGGAAGGAAAATCTGTGAAAAAAAAAACTTGTGTTAACTAACATTAACGACACAGTGTTGACAAATATTGTCTCTGAAATCATAGATTATGAGAAACTGTTTGGAATTTTCTTTCTTTCTTTTTTTAAGTATTTATTTATCTTTGAGAGCATGTGAGCAGGGGAGGAGTAGAGAGAGAGGGAGACAGAGGATCCAAAGGGGGCTCCACAATGACAGCACAGAGCCCAACTGGGGGCTCGAACTCACAAAACATGAGATCATGATCTGAGCTGATCATGACCTCACTCTTGCCTGAGGCGTCAGAGGCACATGGGTCATTTCACAATGAGAAGCAGTTTTGATAACTCTCCCCTCACCCCCAGTACAACACTTCAGATAAAAGGGTTTTCAGACACAACTCTCCACATTTATCTCAACTTTATGTTTCTAGGGAGCAAGCCCCTTGAGTCTCCGTCTCAGCTCTACTGGTAATCAGACTGTGACATCCCTAATGGAACCTAAAACTACATTACTAACAGAACATGGTTTTTCCCCGGACCCCATGAATCTTCTGAGTAATTGAACTGCAGCTCCATGGACTTTCTCTGGTGGCATTAAATAATGATTCAGAAGCTCTGTGGCCCTTTTGACCCAAAAGGTATATCAGAGCTTCACTCCTCGTCAACAATACCTTGTGCTGTTTTCTTTTCGTCAAAATCCGATTTCTGCCCGGCCTCTGATTTCTTCTGTTCAGATTTGTTGACAATCCAGTAAGGATTCTGTTTGCTTTTCCTTGTAATAATCCCAGTTTTATGAATTTCCTCTATTTCATAATTTTTACAAGACTTCAGTAATTCTCAAGAG